CACGTCGCACGCCCACAAGTTCTCCATGCTTTGATCGCTCGCGATCACATCTTGCCGGTACACCTGTTCCTGCGCCGCTTGTTGCTGTGCAAGCAGTTGCGCTTCCAGTCGTCGTTTGAAGAAGAAGTTGTATAGTCCACACGAGACGAACATGATTAGGATAGATGCATAGAAGAAGAAGTTGGCGCTCGGGTTGTCGGCTGCATCGAGGCGTCGCAGGAGGACAGTGGACGACGGCATGGCGCGTGATCTCCGCCTGGCGGAAGGGAAATGACCTCAGTTCCAGGTAGAGCGCGTTTTTCAATTTCTTTTATTCTATCTTCAAATTTGTATTAAGAAGCATGCATTTTATTTTCTGGTATGCAACAACATGACCGAATGGAGCCAATCAAATGCGTCGGTCGAGTTTACAGCCCTCGAAACAGATAAAACGTCCTTTGACCTGATTGACAGGCCAGCTCCAGTCTTGGATGCGGTAGGAGGCACTCTTCGTAGATGTTGTCGAGCTGCACGCTCCAAGGCATCGCAGTGCCGCCAAGCGCCGTTCCTTCTTGCCTCACTATCTCGCTCTACGTTACTCGAATGTAGCTGTGATGCTGATGAAAAAAACGTCATCCCGTGATCAAAATGTAGGTTAAACGCGTTAGGATTACTAAATCGACCTTACTAAGTCGAAGCGATGCTTTTGTAACGGCAAGAAACCGAACAGACGGCGCCGCCATGTACATCGGTCCATGGCAAGAGTACAAGCTGGCGAAGATTCAAGATGCAGCAGTCCAAAAGCTTCGGAAGGAGTGGGAGGAACACCTCAAGTCCACCATCATCGGGCAAGGCGACGAGGAGTGGTAAGCACTGTTCGGTGAGGGGGTCTCGAGTATTGATTCACCTGCAGCATTCGCCAAATGATGGAACCGATACTATCCAAACTCCCTGCGATGCTCCTGGCGAACAGAACGAAGGAAGTTGTCCCACCGACGACCCATCGGAAGAGCAGAAGGTCCCTCTTGACAGGGCGATCTATCCCGAGCAACCAGGACTCACCGAATCATGATCCACGCGAAGTTATCTTGGCCCCCACGAAGAAACTTGTCAAGAGGCAAACGACGAAACCCAAGACCCCACGTGTCAGCACCAGCATTGACGAAGTTGCACGGAGGAGACAGCGGTGGACTGCGCCTGCCGCAGAGAACACTCCATCGACGACACCAACACACCGCGAGGACGTTCATCTACCGTCAATCACTCCGCACACGGCATTACAACCAGTTATTCCACAAGGACCGCCGACAGCCTCAGTCCGTCCTCCCGTGCAGTTGCCCATGATCGACATGTCGTCGCCGCTTCCTCAACAACCAGAAGACGACGAAGACTCGCTGGACGAGGACGAGTTGAACTCGTTTTTGACTTGGACGGACCAACTGAGTCACCCAGACGCAGATCTGGACCAATTTTCAACTACTTGATCGAACACACCCGACGTTGCGCTAATTAGGTTATCCGGGGAATCTTATTTGGTCGGTCCACGGGCACTTGATCTGTCATTTCGCGCTTTAGCTAGGGTCGCATACGATGGGAACGTGTTGCAATCACAAAGCAGGTTACCTTGGCGTCCGCAGCGCGGTAGAAGCTCCGCAAAAGATTGTGCAACGGCTCGCTCGTGATCACTTGGTACTGTCATGAGAGACAAGCTTTACGACTATTGAATCATACCTTGGTGCGAAGGAGGGTCTGTGGTATGTGTGGGGACGCATGCTTGCGGCGTTCGAATCTGCGCGGATGGGATGAGAGGCCTCGCACACGCCAGAGTTGACCACACACCAGAGGCAGCGAAGCGATACATCGCGTGAAGGAGTCGTCAGTGCACGGCCATTGCACGACGCTCGTCGCCATGTCATTCATGCTCTTGGTCTTGCGCATGGGACTGTTTAACGGCGTGTGGGGGATGCTCATGCTTGCGCCGTCCGCGTGTTCGTCCCGACGAGCAGTGGGCAGATTCCCTTCAGCCAATCAAAATGCGACTGATTTTGATCAAGGCACCTGATTGGTTACAGTATGAACATGGCCGATCTTTACTTTTGAACTAAATACTTGAGGGACGACGACCGCTTGGCGCGCAGTCGGCTCATGGGATTGTGCAGGGTCGTCTGCTTGGAGGAGGACGCTTCCTTGCGCGTCTTGCCGCTCAAAGGACGGGCCACTGACGTGTCCACTGCGTCCTGCAAGTTGTCAAGATGACTGGAAGCTGCAAGTTTCTTTCGTCGGAGACTGAGCATTGCCTGGTTGTGTGCTTGGACCTGCAGTCGGACGAGCCCCTTGATACCGACAACATATCTGTGCGCAGCTTCGCTCGTGTCTGCGTAGTCCCGGACGAGTGGAATCTTCTCAAGAATCTCGAAGCGCGGCAGCTTGAACGAATCGGGGAGGTGTTTGGTAAACACGGAGATGTTGACTGGCGACCAAACACATCCAATGGGCGAAGGAAGGGCCGGGCAGTTGTGTGCACAGCATTTCTCCCATGGCACGGAGTACGATGGTGACACATGTGCGTTGTTGCATGGGATGCCCGGGGGCAACGGCGCAAGGAATCGTGAATGCACCTGCGAGTGGACACGTGCCGGCTGGACGATTGGGGTACAGCCCGCAGGGTTCTGTTTTGTGCTGTATTCGGACAGTTGCGTCAGGTATGCGATCACGTTGGCGTTGGCGCGGATGTTGTGCGGATGGGTGGGCGCGGCGGAGTCGAAGTCCACGGCGCACAGGTTCGACAGCACTGTGAAGCAATGGGCACCGATGGTCGGGTCGGGGGTAGACTGGGCTTCGTTGCGGTCGCTAATGTCGAGGATGCACCCGAGCAAGCCGTCGGACAAGCTGCGCCAGATGTGGTCTTTGTTGCGTGTAAGAATCGTGAGGGACTCTAAGCACGTGATGATGATATCGTATGGCGCAGTGGCGTCGCTGAGGAGTCGAACGAACGACAGGACGACACCGAGCTCCACCATCGCCTGGAGAACTCGTCAAAGGTTGCCATGAAGGCGAAGGTCGCCGTACCTTTTGATTCCCGGGGGGGTTGATCAGCTTGCGAAATGCTGCAGCGACTGTCGACGCCAACGGCGGTGGAACGGCGGCGTCGAGCGAAGTCGCTGGGCGAAATTCATTTGACTGCACGTAATCGACCAAGACGACGCCGCCGTTCTCCATCACAATCCGCGACGAGTTGACCTTCCCCAGGGCCAAGTTGCAAATGGACAGCACGCACCACGCTTTTTCAAGGTCCAGGAGGTATGTGTCATGCAGCACCTGCGTTAGACCGCTCGCGACCAGCGCCGACAGCGCGGTTTCGTCCAACACGCAGGTCAAGTTGTACAGCGATAAAACACACAAGCTCTACAAGTTGCCATTGAAAATGGCACACCGAGGCATGCATGTACGCACCGACAGATCGCGATCGTCTGCGCGGAGACCTTGTTGCAAGAAGTTGTGGGCGCCGGCTTGCACCAGCTCGAGGAGTTTGGATGGCTGGCACGTCAAGTTGTACAGGGCCTGGACAGTGAGACCCATGCGGTCGGGAGTGGTCGCGGACGTCAGTGCCGTCGACATGGATGCAATGCGAAGGATGTCCATTGCGTGCGCCGGATGCATGTGGACTTGGGCGGCGCGGTTGGCGGTACAGTCGCATAGCGTGATGAGACACTGGAGGACCAACGATTCGTTTGAGAGAATCGAGCGCATCCACGGCAGGAGACCATTCCGAATGCTTTCAATGCGGCATTTATCGTCCGCGCGCGACGTCTTCAGGAACACCATGGCTGCAGCATGCGCGACCGCGGCATTGGAGTCGTCGACGAGCCGCCGTAAAATTTTCACGATGCCTTCGTTGACGAGGATCCCGCAAGCCTACGAGTCGTTCCATCGACGTCACAATGGTGCACAACTTAGTCCACGCGACCTTGTCGTTGTGGAGAAGGTTGGCAATGGCTTGAAGCCCAACCACGATGGTCGGGCCGTCACCGGTCTCGACGATCTGGACGAGGGCCCTCGGGACGCCCGCTTCAATCATTTTGAGTGGATATGCCGACGAGAGATTGCAAAAGCAAGTTGCGCAGGCGTGTTTGGTGTCGGCAAACGGCAACGTCGACAGGGAGCTACGACGGGATGCATCAACTAGCGATGCGAATGCACACAAAGACCAACCTGAGGGCCCAAAACACGCCATGGTCGATCATGGTTCGCGTGCAGTGCTTGGCTTGAACGGAGAGGCAGTTGGAGATTATCTTGATGCACAACGTCTTAATTTGATCGCTCTTGGTCGCGACAAGCGCCATGATCATGGACGCCGCAATCGCCCCTTGCTCGACGAGCTTTGTTTCCATGTTCGAGTGCGCTGAGATGCGGCAAAAGGTCAAAATGCACAGCTCCTTGACAGTGTCGTTGGATGCGCGGCTGAGCTGAATCAGCACTGGAATCGCTTCTTCCCGCACGATGACTTCGACGGCCTCAATCGTGTCCGCCAGACAATACAATATGTATGCACAGTTGCCCATGATGAAGTCGTCGGCAGTGTTGCAGATGCGGGCAAGGCACACGGCGCATCCTGTTTTGAGGAGCACGTCGCGGTTCTTCGGGGACGTTGTCAGGTGGGCCAGGAGCGACACACATGACCGAAGGGCTATCGTGTCGCTGTTCGTTTTGAGTGTGTACAAAGCCTTCACCAGCGCTCGAACATCATCTGTGCCTTGTGGAAACTCGGCCGGGTCCAATGCAAATTGAACCATCCTACGACAGGGACGTTGAATCGACTGGACAAGTTCATGCAAAGCAGACGTGTCCAAGGCAGCGTGGCGGGGGGCGCCGGACGTGGTCGAGATGGCGGTTGCGACGAAATCGAAGAACCCGGACTGAAGCATGACGACGCGCGTTGTGGGGGCGAGTTGGTAGATGAGGGGCAACATTACGTTGGTTACTTTTTCCGTCGGACGGCGGTGGGAATGCGACGGAGGGCGAATGACGTGCTTGAGCGCGTCGACGAGCCCGGTCGATGGGGCCGACAGGAAAGGGATTAACGTGTCGTTGCAGGACAAGTTGAAGAGCGCCGTGATGGCAAAGACCACGATCGACTCGATGGGAGACTGGAGAAACTGCACCAAATCCACAATGATCCGTTCCGTGCACCCTGTCGCGTCGTCGAGCTGGAGGTCGCACTGCAGCAGGCAGCACATGCAGCTGATGCCGTTGAGTTTGATTTCGTCGTGGGCGTCGCGAGTCATTTGCATGAGGACGGGGACAACTCCCGCGACGACGAGCGACGGATAGATCGCCCGCGTGGCGCACACGTGGCGAAACACCCACGACATGGTAAAGTACCCGTACGTGGAGATGTGCACGATGTTGTCCACAATCGTTGCCATGTCATGCACCATCGCATCCCGGCACGACTCGTCCATGGAGAGCTGGTACAGGATGCTGCACACGGTGTCGGCAATCGCTCCTACAACACGTGCGTCGGTGACGTGCGATCTGGACAAGTGGATGGTAGTACCGCCAAGGCTCAAGCACGCGACGATGCTTGGAACGAGGCCGTCTTGGACGATATGCTGTCGGCCGTTCTTGGTTGCTGCCAGCAGAAACAACCCTACGCGAACGACGGCGAAGTCATCCAGTGCCTGCGGCCGCCCGCACACACCTTTGAGTCCAAACTCGATCGCGTCGTCCTCGACTGGCTCCGTGGGGCGCGACTTGTGTTGGTGGCACTTGCAAAAGTGAGCGACGGGAAGAGATAGAATGCGATGGGCGTTTTCCGCCATGAGGGCGTTGTGGAAGGTCTGGGTTTGCGTTAGATTAAAGAGCGCTTGGACGAGGAGTAGCGTCGCTTTGGATGGATGGGCCGCCGCGTTCATGGTCTTGCACACCGTCGTGATACACTGGGTGAACGCGTCGATGTAGTGCTTGAGCTGGCTCGCGTTGTGCGACAGATTGAAGTAAGCAAGAGCGACGATGCGCTTCGTTTCGGCGTTATGGCCGTGGTAGAGCTTGACGAGCACACGGTCGACCCCGTCGTGGAGTAGTTTGTCTTCGAGGAAGCTCTCCTCTGTGATGTGGCCGAGGATGGCGGCAAGATCTTGCTTGAACTTGCTTCGGGTGGCGTCACCTGGTCGAGTGTCGACATTCGAGGGTGTGCTGACGTGCCACGTACCATGTCGAACGAGAAGCGAGATCGTCCCCACGATGTTGTGGAGCACGAGAAGGCGGCGCGTGCACGGGACCTGCGCGAGTCCGTAGAACGCCTTGGCGCAGTGCGACTGCGTCTGAGTGTCGGGGACCGCGGCGAGGGAGACGAGGGCAGGAACGATCCCGTTGTCCAGGAGGGATTTCATTCCTTTATCTTTGGACGTGGGGGCTCCGAACTCATTCGACGACGGTGGCGTGAGGCGCGAGTAGATCATGCGTTCAAATGTCTTGGCGCACTGCCGCTTCTTTGCGCGGTACCCGGTTTCGCTCATATGCTGGGCCGGGTTATCGAGGTGCTGGGGAAGTGCCGTGTCCACGGAAGCCGTGTGCAGCGGCGTTGGGACGTTGTTCTTGAGTTGATCCTTCACAGTGATGCGGGAGAGATACAGCATGCCGTCGATGGTGTTGGTTCGAGTGCCGAAAAGGTCACCTTTGTACGGTTTGGCAAACACCGGTCCGGCGGCCTTGGCAAGAACAGCGACAGCCGCTTCCTGCTTCGGGTCAAGCGTGTGCGAACGTTTCTCCGCTGCTGCTTCATCGTCGAGGTTGCTCATGTTAGGTCGAGGAGAACGGACCGTGCAGGTGCCATCCTCGGGCGACTGACACGCCGTCGACATGCATCTACGGACAGATATTTATAACGCCTTGCTGGAGTTACGTCCGAATCGTTTCCATTCCCGTCGCAATCTCCGTGTAGCACAGCGCGCCGCAATGCCCTTGGGTACCACGCACTACCTGCAGCAACCAGCTCCCTTCGGTGGCAGCGCACTCGGTGAGGAATATATACTCGATTCTTCAGAAGTTTGATTTTCTTCTGCATGAATGAATGGTATGAAAATATTTGGATATTCCTCTCAATAATAATGCCAAGTAAGATTGTGATTTCCATCTCCTTTAATAAAGGAGTTGAAAATCCATGGCACCCTGAAAATGAAACAATTCGAATCGGGGTGAACGGAAGCTTGCCTGGGACAATCGAAGTGGTCTCTTCTCACGTTGCCAACGTCCGCAGACGAGATGACGAACTGGCTGCTCCACGTGGTGAAATCTCAAGAGAAATTATTGCTGTTTCACGTGCAAGAAGGACCGACGAGGTATCGTCTAGACCGTCTTTCTTCCTTGACGACGATCCCCGCCTCGAGTCGCTCGCACCGTTGGGCACCGACACAACAAGCTGAACAATTCGTTTAAATCCAGCAAAATGGGCTAAACTCGACTTCTTCACACGGATTGGTCCAAATCGCTCCGTATGTTGGGAGAAACCCCCATTCTGACCAGATGCACATGGCAACATCTCATTCCAGGCATCGTTGCGCACCCGAGTCAGGCGATGGCGATGCGCGTTCGCCGCCTCGACGCAGACACCAACACAACGTTCTTCTATGCATCTATTCTAATCATGTTCGTCTCGTGCGGACTGTACAACTTCTGCTTCAAGCGAAGGATCCAAGCCCAGTTGCTTGCACAGCAACAAGCGGCGCAGGAACAGGTGTACCGGCAAGATGTGATCGCGAGCGATCAAAGCATGGAGAACTTGTGGGCGTGCGACGTGTGTGACTTCAAGAACTACGATGGTCACAAAACGTGTATCTTGTGCGGCACCGAGCGCGACTTCACTTTGTATGGAAAGGTACCATCGAAGCGAACAGCGGCGGTCGAGGACGGCAACAAAGCTGCAACGGCAGGGCTTTCCCCCACAAACTTTGTCCTCATGAACGATTCGACGCCGCGCACGATCAAGAAGAATCGCAATTTTGCCAAGCTCCGACTCAACAACCTGAACATTCGGCAAAAGGGAGCGCGGCGGCGACACGACTGGGTTCGCAACGTGGACGAGCAGAGCGGCAACATTGTTTGGGGCCGGAATCGAGACATCCTGGACCACAAGGTGCTCAAGCGCATTGTGGTGAAGGACTCGCTACCTCCCCTTGCGGACGACGGGGACTTTGACCTGCCGATGCTGCGCGACTCGGTGTCGAGCGTGAGCTCGGTCGGCAGTATCGCAAGTGTCGGGTACGTGAGCAAGATGGTGATGACGCCGAGGCACCCCGACGGGCGCATGTCGTTCGAGACGGCGGAGGGCCAGACGGCGTTCCAGACGGTGAACCCGACCGTGTTTTCGTCGGCCGAACTCAAGGACGTGTCCCAGCTCTCGTTCCAGCAAAAGCACGCGTGGTTTGTCCAGTACACGTCGACGATGGAGGTGCCGTGGGAGTACGGGCACATGCTGCTCGAGATCGACCGGGCCAACTTGCTCCACAACTCGTGCGAGCAGTTGCTGTGGGCAACCCACGACCAGCTGCACCAGTCGCTCCGAATCAAGTTTTTGAACGAGCCAGGCGTTGACGCGGGCGGTCTCGAGCGCGAGTGGTTTACGCTCATGACGGAAGAAATTTTTGACGAACGCACGGGGCTCTTTGGCGCGTGCATGGACAACGCGTACATGATCCGCGCCACGTCGAGCGAAGCGTCCGAGGACCATCTCATGGTGGGCGACGCTGGGAGTTGTCGTGCGTCACGTTGTGGTTGTAGTACTTTCAAGCGATCGGGCGCTTTATCGGGCGGGGGCTGTTTGAAGGGATGCTGCTGGACGCCCACTTGGCGCTGCCTCTGTACAAACACATCCTCGGGACGCCCATCACGTTCTCGGACCTCGAGTTTATCGATGTCGAGCTGTACAACAACCTCAAGTGGCTCAAGCAGAACAAGGGCGTCGAGTCGCTCTGCTTGGACTTTAGGTACGCATCGGAGAGAGAGGCTGCGCTCATGGCAACTTGCTAGTGTGAATGTGGCGCAGTACGACAAGGTGCCGCTCACGATCGACCTGTGCCCGAACGGCCGGCACATCGCCGTCACGGACGACAACAAGGACGAATACATCTACCTCCGGTTCAAGTGGATCATGATGACGAGCATTTCGCCGCAGCTGGCATCGCTGATCAAGGGCATCTACAGCGTCATTCCGCTCGAGATGCTGTCTGTGTTTGACCACCAAGAGCTCGAGCTCCTCATGTGCGGCATTCCGGACGTGAATGTGGACGACTGGAAGGCGCACACGACGTACATTGGAAACGAGTGCGACCCCCAAGTGATCGAGTGGTTCTGGGAGGTCGTGACGGGTTTTTCGACCGAGCAGCGCGCACGGCTGCTGCAGTTTACGACCGGGTCGGCGCGGGTGCCAGTCCAGGGATTCAAGACGCTCACGATGAATGACGGCCGCATCTGCTTGTTTGCAATCCAGGGCATTCGAAAGGAAGAGTGCTTGTACCCGCGCGCCCACACATGCTTCAACCGGCTCGACCTCCCCATGTACTCGTCCAAGAAGGACCTCGAGACGGCGCTCACGATGGTCATCAAGATGGAAGTCACGGGCTTTACGATCGAATAGCGTCATTTTTTTAACAAACAGCCATCGTGGTCCATCCCCAGACATGGAACCACACAGTCGTCACGAGCATGCGAACGTTCGACTCGCGCTGATGCGATCTCGGCAGTCGTCCCCTTCAATCGCCAGACCTGCTTCCCTCTGGGATTGCACGTAGGCACTCTGAAGCATACGACTCGGTTGTAGCGTAGTCGGCGCTGCTAGTCCAGCGTGTACGTCGTGCCATGCTTTCGCTTTGCCGACACCTTT